CCCGCCGGGAGGCAGAGCGCGTCGGTGCCCCCCGCTCCCGGGTGATGCTGGCCCGGAAATTATTTTCTTGCATGTTCTTGCAGAATCATCCAAAAAACCCCCAAAAATGGGGGTCAGAAGAATCGCTCGATCAACGTACGCCTTAACGTCAGGACGGGTGTTTACGCAGGGATTCGAAGTTTACTTTAAAAATGATGATAAAAAAAATGATGATAAAAAAAAAAAATCGGCTGAAATGGTACAGCTTGTCAGAGCAACCTGTGCTAGCGGTTGAGCTCTGTCGCTGGGACGAGTTATTTTCCTCCTAGCTAGCCTGAATTTTGTTAGGAAAATCTCATTAGTCTTCGTAGTGTGGAGTTGTATGAACTTTCTTAAAATATATACAGTTTACATTGTATACTGCATAGTCATTAGTGTGAAGTTGTATGAGCTTTCTTGAGATAGACAGATATATATAGTTTACATTGTACACTGCGTAGTCACGCTTACTCAAGGACCCCAGCTTATTGCGAGGAAGAGGAGGACAGCCCCCAGCCTGAAGGAAAAACGATACCCCTTGGACTAGTGAGGTAACACCAGCATCCTCGCCCCTCTAGCACCTCCCTGAAACCCTCCCATCGTCTGGCATCATAGTAACTGTAGCAAGACCGACGCCACAGACGTCTAGATCAAGAAAGAAGCAGGTGGATGATGACGCCATACAATTACAGTTGCTTTGCAAAACAGTTGTGTGTGCGTTAAGTAGCGATTGATCAAATCATGTTGCATCTGAATGCCTGAAAGGTATAAGAACCTTGTGTAAAACCGCATTCGGGGTGCCCTGATTTGATCAGGACACCTCATGAGCATGAATAAAAAGCATTACTCTTGTAACTCTATCCTTTGCGTCCGAGTCTCTCTCCTTGGTCGGCACGGGCCGGTTGTGAAATTTTCACGACAATTTCCGCTGCTGTGCCTTGTGTCTGCTGCCTCTCGCTGTTTACTGTGCAGCTCCAGCATAGCCTCCCGTTAGGTGGTTGAAGACAGCAGTGAGACTCCTCTTCTTCATGTTGAGCAGACCCAGGTCTCATCATTTCCACCCATGCATAATCCCTCCGGGAGGAAAAAATTCAGAAAGCATGAGCAACACCTGAGTGAGCGGGTTAATTCCTTTATCGTCTGATTAGGTAGAAACAAAGCAGAGAAATTATTTGAGGTCAGTGGTATTCCCAGTTTTCTTTGCTTGGTTTTATCTTTCCAGTGATTTTAATGATTCGTGTAATACACCTCTTCGCTGGAGCTGTTACGCACCACATCTGCATCTTAACTCAACAACCACAATACTCTCAGGATGTTTATTTCGTTGGCAAGCAGACAGAAATTGTTGCGAACCGTGAGCCCTGTTGGATTTTCCTGTCGTTCTCTTCTGGCTGGGTCACGGGTGCTTTATCCTGACGTCACTGTAAACCCCCCCAAAATAAATACAAGAACAGTACCAGAAATCAAAAGCTTTTGATACTGTCTCTCACAGTATCCTTTTGGACAAAATGCCCAGCACACAGCTAGACAAGTCCATAATACATTGGGTGAGCAGCTGACTGACAGGTCAGGCTCAAAGAGTTACAGTAAATGGGGTTACATCAGGCTGGCAGCCAGTCACCAGTGGGGTTCCCCAGGGCTCGATTTTAGGGCCAGTGCTCTTTAATGTTTTTAGAAATGATCTGGACGCAGGAATCGAATCTACGTTAAGTAAGTTTGCCGATGATACTAAACTAGGAGGAGCTGTGCACTCCCTCGAGGGTAGAGAGGCCTTACAGAGAGATCTGGATCGGCTAGAGAGCTGGGCAGTCACCAACCGTATGAAATTTAACAAGAGCAAGTGCCGGATTCTCCACCTGGGATGGGGTAATCCTGGTTATACATACAAATTGGGAGACAAGAGGCTGGAGAGTAGCCCCACAGGAAGAGATCTGGGGGCTTGGGTTGATGGCAAGTTGAATATGAGTCAACAGTGTGCCCTGGCAGCCAAAAGGGCCAACCATGTCCCGGGGTGCATCAAGCACAGCATAGCTAGCTGGTTGAGGAAGGTGATTGTCCCACCCTACACAGCACTGGTGCAGCCCCACCTCCAGTACTGTGTGCAGTTTTGGGTGCCTCGATATAAGAAGGACATCAAACTATTACAGTGTGTCCAGAGGATGGCGACCAAAATGGTGAAAGGTCTCAAGGGCAAGACTTGCAAGGAGTGGCTGAGGTCACTTGGCTTGTTCAGCTTGAAGACAAGAAGGCTGAGGGGCGACCTCATCGCAGTTCTACAACTTCGCAAGGGGGGCAGCGGAGGGGGAGGTGCTGATCTCCTCTCTCTGGTGACCAGCGACAGGACACGAGGAAATGGAATGAAGCTGCGTCAGGGGAAGTTCAGATTGGGCATTAGGAAAAGGTTCTTCACTGAGAGGGTGGTTGGTCACTGGAACAGGCTCCCCAGGGAAGTGGTCATGGCACCAAGCCTGTCAGAGTTCAAGGAGTGTCTGGATGACACTCTTAGTCATATGGTTTAGCTTTAGGTAGTCCTGCGAGGAGCAGGGAGTTGGAGTTGATGATCCTTATGGCTCCCTTCCAACTTGAGATATGATTCTATTATTCTGTGATTCTATGAAATAAAAAAGGCACAACAATAACTTCCCAAAATGGTAGCAAAGTTGTGATGTTCCTATGAACCAGACAAGACATTTCTTCATGAAGCATGGCTGCTGTGGCCATCCAGGGATGTCACTTTGGGAAGCCTTTGATGTGTCCACCCTTTCCAAGTGGCATCAACACATGGTCAGGAAATGCAGTCTGGGGTTTGGTATTGCTACAAGGTTTTAAATGTCCGCAAATGCCGTATTGGTGTGTAAAGCACCTTCTCTAAAAGATACACACCTATTTCACCCCAGAGCCTTTAAGATCCCAATTCCACAACTAAATTCTGCAACTTTTATTCGTGCTGAGCCATTTCGTGCAGACCTCTCAAAATCTCGGGGCACTTTTCAGAAGGGAAGCCTGTTTGCCTGCTATCACTCCCCACAATTAATTTTGCAGACAGGGTGTTTTCTGATTTAACTGCAATTTATGTGGTGATCATTTCCCCCTCCCCGGGGAAGAGGAAGGAGGATTTTCTCTCGCTCTCCCCACCTGGGGCGTTTCATGCAGCTTCGCCTGCAGCAGCCCTGCTCCACTCAGTCAGGGGCTGCCAGGCACAGACCACGCTCTCTGGGGGTCTCAGAGACGTCAAGGAGCCAGAGGAGGATGAGGTGGAAGGGGAGGCAGGTGCAGCAGGGCTGGGGTACTGCGCAGGAGGGAGCCGGCGTGGAGAGCGAAGGCTTCGTCAGAGGCTGAGGAGAGAGCCTGGAGCGCCGGCAGGACACAGCGGACGGCCCTGTCTTGCTGAAACTTAAAATGAATGATTGTTTCAGAACATTCAAATGACAGAAAACAGGTGTGTGGGGGGGTTTAGAAATATAAATATGCATATACATACGCATGTATAAATTTCCTTAAAAGAACATTAAAAAATTGCTTGTTTTAAAAAGTGATGTCTATTGTATCCATACAGTAGCCCTGCATAAAAATGAAATCCTGTCTCTTCTTTGAGAAGAAAAAAGGCGTTGAAATAGAGCACCAAAGAACAAGAAATAACACTGAAATATGCATTCTGTTGCTTTCCTTCAAATTCCAGTTCATAGGCTCAGGTGATTTTTTATGTAGACTTGCAGGTGCATCCATTTAAGTCACGCCACAAATAAATGCAGTCAACTGCGTATGAATGATTGTGCTATCAGATACCCATAGATAAAATGGCATTTTGAATGGGTAACACAATCAAAGAAGCACTCAGACAGCATGTCAATGGGCACGATATAAAAATCTGAACAGAAACGTGAGGTGCAAGGAAAAGCCATGTCTTTAAACAGCCACCAAAACCAAGTGTGCAGGGGAACATGCGGGTCCCCTGGGAGACCGCAGGTACCCCAGTGCAGACATGTACAACGGTGCACGTGATCCTCCAAGTGGACGTTAAATGGAAAATATTCTGATTCCCAGGTGAGTACGGCTCAGACATCTTGTCACTTTGATGTATTACGTTAACACCGTCATTCCTGCTAACACAACGACTCTTTCTCTTTTCCAAAATCTCGGATATTTATCTTGAATTGCAAAGAGAAATGGAAGCAGATGAACATTTAGGAGCACATAAATATTAAAATAAATACCCTGATGTGAAAGTTGTCAGCTCTGTTTCTTCAAGATCAGGAAGGTATTTCTCACACTGTCTCATTTTTGCTTCTCAAACCTTTTTTCATAAAACCCCTGCTTCATTGAGTATAAAATTAATGTAAATGCAATGTAATGTAATGTATTAATGTATTTTTCCAGTAGCTTGACAGAAGTGGACAGTAGTGGACAGAAAGCTGCTGATTGGCTCACCACATACAAAATGAGAAGTATGGAAGGGAAGAACACTTCAACCTTTTGTCTGAGAAAATTTAATTTCTAGGTTAATTTGCATATAAAAATGAGTTTTGTTGGATCACGACCGACCACCTGCCCAAAGTAAGAAATTTGTAAAAAATGGTGGGTGAGAGGAAAGTATGTCAGTAGAAGTGTTCCCACTATGAGGACTCTTAATTGCTTGTGACCCTGCTGTGGAAGAAGGTACGGGAAAATTAATGCTCTGAGCAATATTCATCTTGCTGAGTGTTTTTCTTTCTTTCTTCACTCATGGTTGATGTGACCTTTTTGGACTCCAACTGCTAGAGGAGATGTACTGCAACATGCAGAGTACATTATTATTATCTTGAATGTTCTCCAGCTTTCATACCAAATGTTTAGTCTGCTTGGTCAGGATTAAATGTCCTTTGTGTTTGACTTCTGAGGATTTCTATTCCAGGTTGCACACCTGGTATGTTACTGTAGTTTTCCTTTAAAGAAGCGCAAAAACAGTTGTCTTTGCTGAAATGCCGCACTACAAGGTAGGCTTTTATGAAAACTATGTTAAAAAAAAAATACTCGGAAATCAAACAAAAGTACAGCTTGCCAAATCCTACTTTGGGAGAGCTGGCAAGTCCTCTGCAGTGACACCCTGCTCACCAGCCCTGATCTCTTACACCAGAGGTGTGCTGCGTGCCGCGTGTTGCAGAGGTGTTATTCACATTACACCAGAAAAAAAGGACTTTGTCACATCTTTCTTTGCTTTCACGTTGTCCTTGCTTTCATGTTTTCCAAAAGGCCCCTAAACAGGGATTCACGGTGGCTCCAAACCCCCAGATCTGGAAAGGACTCGCTATGGAAAGAGGAACAGGCAGAACAAGTTAGGGTGCCCCAGAGGTTTTCACATGTAGCTTCACCTACGGCCCTACCCTGCAATAAGTCTTCTTGAGTAAAGGTATTAGTAGTATATTAGCACCTTGTATGGAATAAAAACTTCATAGACATAACAATCCACTTGCCTTTCTCTTTCTTCACTTGAGAATGCCTAAGACACTAAAGGAGCTGCAAGTTGTTCCTTGGTGAGCAAAATGAATGGAGTCTGACCTAAGGCTGTATATCCGCATCCCCCCACGCCCCCCCTCCCTGCAGCAGCCTCACCCACCCAGGATCTACACTTCCCCGCTACCCCAGTTTCAGTGACCTCGTGCAATGGTCGCCCTCCTTCCTAACAGCCCCATGCCCCATCGCTGTGCCTGCCAGGTGGGCAAGAAATTGGAAGTACCTCCAGCTGGCACGGTGCTCTGGGTGCACCGAACCCGGTTGCTGCCGAGCGCTGGGTACTGCAAAGGGTGAGCAGAACAGGGAGCAGTGGAGCGCTCCTTGCCTGCCCCTCAACTCTTCTGCCCACTGGCTGCCCGTGGGAACTCAGGATCTCTGCATCCTCCATCCTTCTCTCCAAACTGGTTCAAACCGAATGAGCTCAAAGTTATCAAAGGGTCCTGCCAAACAGACCCAAATGCAAACAGATAGTGCAATAACCGAAGTCTCATTTCTTTAGGACACCAGGCAGAAGAAAAACGCCATAGAGGGGATGACAAT